TACCGCCCCCTTCTGCTCCAGCGCCCCCACACCGCCCCTTTTTGTTCTACTGCCCCCCTGAAAAATGAAATCGCCCCCTGCATTATCTTATCGCCCACGTTAAGAACCACTGGTGTAGACTAATCTGAAAATATATCTTTTTGGTATTTTTAAAACTGTAACATTTGTATAATTAATGCAACATTGGTCCTGCCGTTCCGTTAATGCAGCAACAAGATAGGAGCTCACCGCCACACTGTCAGTACTGGGATTTTGGACCAGGATATCACTATAGGCAATTGTCATCAGAGGGGGGTACGTTAAGAACCACTGGTGTAGACTAATCTGAAAATATATCTTTTTGGTATTTTTAAAACTGTAACATTTGTATAATTAATGCAACATTGGTCCTGCCGTTCCGTTAATGCAGCAACAAGATAGGAGCTCACCGCCACACTGTCAGTACTGGGATTTTGGACCAGGATATCACTATAGGCAATTGTCATCAGAGGGGGGTAGATGGCTCCTCTCTGAGTGCCAGGCACAAGACGAATGCTGAAAACAGATACATAACTGAATGTTAGCTGGAAAATAGAGGTGATTAGAAGAATAAATAGCAGAGCTGGTTTTAAAAGCCTACGGGCATTCACAGCAAGTCAAGCAGGCGATTAGTTTCAGTCTGCTTTATGATCCAAGATTTTCTACAATGAATCACAAATGGGTGGAAGTTCTTTTGAAGTTGTGTCCCACTATAAAAAAAGCAGTCTGTTGATCAACTTAAAAGCAGATTGCCTCTTCAGGAGTAACAGCTACTGGAGAGCAAATTTCAGCTCTCTCGATTTATATATTATTATTATTATTATTATTATTATTATTATTATTATTATTATTATTATTATATACGTTTTATAAGTAAGGTAGTATACATTACATACTGCTGAATAGCATTAATCCAAATACGAGAAATTAACTATTCCATACACTATTTTTAGAGTACAATTATTTATACATTTACCTGGGAGTAAGTCCCATTAAACTCATAGGGAGTTACTTCTGAGCAGTCCTGTACGCAAGCTGTTAGTAAGTACAGTACCTAACTTTCTCTATTTTGATTTCTCCTCACAATCAACAAGATGTTGGATTACATTAATGCCAAAATTATAATTAGCAATGAGAATTGAGGGAGTACATTGTTCAACCATGTGTACTCACCTTATAGCTATGTCACTAGCAACACGTATTACTCTTGGTTGGCTTCCTAAGTCATTTTCTCACCCACTTAAAGTATCCACCAAAAACATCCGATGTGTCAAAAGCCAGTTGTTCATATTGCTGCCTTTTAAAAATAAGGTACAAAATTGCAATAATTAAGAAATGCTTTAATATAAAAATAGAAAAGAGGAATAAAAAAAATAAAGAGGCATAAATTATTTTGGTAGTGCAGTACTTACCTTTGTTTTGTATCATTAAAAAATAGGACAAGTTTTCAGAGAAACTTTCCTTGGATTACTATAAAAATGATCTGTTGCAGTTTTCATACCCATTTCAAAATCCAACACTTCCTCAAATCATGTACATTTCTGATTTTCCCTAAAGCCAATAAGGTCAAAGGAAGTGATGGTAAGTGACAATTCGGGATTGCAGTGAGCCTTGGACTCATGTGTGCCTCCTTCTCTTCAGTGGCTGGAAGAAGACTCAATGGCTGGACACCAGTTACCTGCTGCATACAGTAAGGTTACACAGACATAACTTTGCCAGGCATTATGCCTGCCAACCTAGCGCATCGAAAGCATGTAAATTCAAGTAGATAAATAGGGACCACCTCAGTGGGAAGGTAACAGCATTCCGTGTCTAAGTTGCACTGGCCATGTGACCATGGAAGATTGTCTTCGGACAAAACGCTGGCCCTATGGCTTGGAAACGGGGATGAGCACCGCTCCCTAGAGTCGAACACAACTGGACAAAAATTGTCAAGGGGAACCTTTACCTTTATGCCCAGGCAACACAGATTGTGTATTTTGATTGTGCAATAAGTCACACAGTTCCTGTCATGACCAAATTGCACAATGCTTTGTAGATAGCACTTCCACCTTGGTGCTATTGTTTCCACCATAGGCATAACGTCAAGTTATGCCTGCATAGCTATGCAACAGGAGTTCAGCCAATGCTTCCATTTGTGTTTCTAACTAAGTGGAGATTAGTGTTAGGTCCAAAGCAGGTCAACAAGAACTATGGTTTGCTGAAACAGACCAATTTTAAAGCATGGCTGATGAAGCTAGCTTGTTTCATATAAACAACAGCTTAATCGTTAGTTCACATTTTTACACTAAATTCAGCTACATAAAATCAAACCAATGTCTACCTTTTCCTCCCCACAGCTCTGCCTGAACAGAAGAAGGGATGTGGAAAATACACAAGTCTGAGACTCATTTAAGAAACTTAGCACTTAGCTTAGTGCTATGTTTTGAACAAAGCACAGAAAGGAAGAGTGGTATGAGATCATAAATGCAATTACAAACTGCAACAACAGCTGCAGATTACCATATAGTTGAAATTTACATTTAACCGAAGATGTATTACCAAAGTCAACTCACTGCTTACAGAATCAGACAATCCTTACCTTGGTTCACAAACACTTCATTATATTGAAGGTTTAAGTTTAAGACTGGCACTGCCCAAAGATACTGTTTTCCATCTTCTTCATCATAATATTCAAGGAACACATCATAAAAAATTGGATGGGAATAGTCCTTTAAAATCTTGGAAACAGCCATTTTACACTAAAAAAAGCATACAGTTAAAATGAAATAAGAGCAAAACAATAATACATCTGAAAAATTCATAAGTTTTAAGTTCCCTCCCTTTAATGTCTAATATATGCTTTTTAAAATAAACCTGCTAGCAGGGCAATTGTAGGCTATGTGAAAGAGTACTTCCTTCTGTCTATCCTTTTCTAACCCCATGCCACTCAGTTTAACTGTACCACCCTGCCTTCTGGAATTAAAAGAAGAAGAAAGAATAATCATCATGTGCCAATCAATGATTTCTGATTTATGCTGGCCCATTTCAGGCTTTTCCAGATAGAGACTATTCAGAAGTGGTTTACCATTTCCTTCTTCTGGGGGCTCTGCAGCTTGCCTAAGGTCACACAGGCTGGTTGTAGTCTCAACAGGCACACTGGAGAATCAAACTCCCAGCCTCTGTCTCCGCAGCCATGTATCTAAACCACTGAACTATTTAGCCAGTTGAAATTAAAAAAGAGGGACATGAATTTTTCCTCCATGGCCGTGTTCCCCTTACTAATAGTTAATTCATCCTAGGGAAACTGCTTTAGCTTCTGATTACCATATTTTTTGCTCCATAAGATGCACTCCCCCCCCCAAATAGTGGGGGAGAAAGTATGTGCGTCTTATAGAACAAATACAGTAAAGAAGGGGCTCAACCACCACCACCATGAAGCCCCCCCACTGCCATGCTGGGAGGCCTCTGAACTAGCACCAGAGACTGCTTGCTGTTTGGACCTCACCATTCTGCACTGCTGGCTTTCTAGGATCTGCTTCCTGGAGCCCACCTGGAAAACCAGCAAGGCCAACAGGCCTATGGTAGCAGGCAGTGAAAACAGCCAAGGACAAAAGGGGAAAGAGTAATTCTAGAAAAACAGGGGAAACCACAAACACAGTCCCCCACTTAGGCAGTTGATTTTCCCATATCTGTGGAAACCACACGGGTCAGCACATCCAAAGTGCAATAGATGAGCCTCACCCTAGGAAAACCACTTTGATGATCATGGTATCTCCTCTGCCAGGTATGAGTTGGAATGGCCTCTGAACCTCCTGCCCCTTTGTTCCCTGTCCCCCAAAGGCATGGTGACCCCCCCCCAGCTGCACTTTCTGATCAGAACAGGGCTGCACGGCCCCAGTCCCGAAAGAGGCCAAGAGAGCTACTTAGTGTTTTGGGGTGCCCCACAGGACCCCTATCAGGGGCTGGATGTTTCTCCCACAATCCTCCAGTGCACAGATATTAGCATACTTAATATGCGGGGAAGGCAGGGAAAGCGGGGAAATTCAAACTTTCAGTTAGTGAAGAGGCTGCTTGTCTGCTTCCTTGCTGGTCCAAGCAGTTAGAGAGCTGGGAGAGAGACCTGGGACTGCCTGGTATTGTCGTTTTAAAATGTAAAATTTA